GGTGACGTAGTTATGTGGGCGTTTCAGACTACCTCTCCAGCATTGTACGCAGGGTTTAAGAATTACAGCGGTCCAAAATCGGAACTTGCTAGGGCGGTTTTGGGGAATCTAAGCATTAAAGTATTTCTTTTTAGGCAATTATTTCACTACTTTTATTGTTGGAAAGAATACTGAGGTCCAGACCTTGGTGACCTCTGTGGTGGGTACAGGGCCATGCTAATCAGTACTGGCCCATTTCAGGCACAGATTCTGACAAAGGGAGAACACAAGATAAAATATTTAGCACAGTATTTCTCAAACGTCCTCTTATTGGTTAGGACCACCTAACCAATAACAAAAACTTCACGGACCACCAACCCCCTAAATATTTCCCTAAACAATGTATAGGCCTTCTAGCAGATATGTAGCGGCCCTGTGTTCTTGTAAGCAAACAAATGTTACTCATTGTGTAGATCCTTGAGCTCTAACAAACATTTCAAGTGCATTTTCTTTCCCATAAAAAACATTTTTAAAGTATTTTTAATCCTGCATCGTTTACATCCCTGTTTACTTTCAAGCAGTCCTCTTCTGCCCTGCCTTTGTCCGACAGTTAGTTTTTACTGCGCTTTCTCTGCAAACAGCTGCCTGCTGCGGCTGAAAATGACGTGAGAGCGGTGAGAGTGAACTAAAAGAGTAAAGCGGAGGGCCGGGCAGCTAGACGCTGAGCTGGAACTCACTGTAGGAGCTGCAGATTCAGGTGATCTGTCACAGTGAGCAACCCCTCTGACACTGCCACATTGTTTCTACTTTTCTCTTTAATACATCATTATAAAAATATGAATTATAGCTGCATATGAATTATTTTTGCCACTCATGGTGGCTCCTGGCTGCAGGTCTCCCTCCACATGGCGAGCGGAGGGCCGTCCAGGGGCCAGCACTGCAGGTGAGAGAGCTCTTGCTGAAACGAATTCAGTTACATTATTTAAAAGTCTAACCCCTGACCCACATTCAGCACAGGCCACTGCAGGCTCAACATAAACCTCCATCTCTCTCCTCTCGAGCGCTGATTGGACGGCGGGACGCGCTCGGGAACGCGCCGCCGTGGACGCGCTCGGCCCGTGTTTCCAGGAGACTCTCCCACGCGCCCGCGCAGCGCTCTGCGCCTCCCCGCGCTCAGAGGCTTCTTGAGGCGCGCGACCCTGACGAAAATCTGTGTCTGGCGTGCCCGCCAGTGGAATGCGCGCTCCCCCTCGCAGCTCGTGTCCGGCGCTAATTGGAGTGCACCGCTGATGTAGATGTTAAATGTAAATAGTTGGAGCTTTTACTGCGTTTGGTGGAACTTCTGTGGCTGTTTGTGAAGCGGAGGGAGGATGAGGAGGGTTTCTCTGCAGGCGGCTCTTCTCTGATAATCTCATCCTTCCTCCATGAGGACGCAAACTGTGCGTCTCCTTTTTGCTTGGAGCAAGTTCACCTCTCCGTGAGGCTGACGGGACAGCAAGGGGTTCCTTATTTTCCTGAGTGGTCCCTTTGGTTTCGGGGTCGGATCCGGAGAGTCACCTGTGTTTGGGTTTTGTTGCAGATTCGGATTTGAAGTCCTGTAAGTGGAGCGGGCCCTACAGACCGAGGCGCCCCGTCCGACCTGACTTATTTTGTTTGTTCGTTTGTTTTGTTTTCTTCCTAGTTTTTTTTCTTTCTTTCTTTATTTGAAATAATGTGTTTACAGTTTTGATCTGGAGGATTATAGCAGCATATTGTCGGTGGCTTCCATGTAGCGGGGAAAGAGGCTGTGTGTGTTTCTGAGGGATCCATCAGAGGCTTATATAAGAAGAGCCGTCATGTATGCGGGACGAAAGAGGAGAAAACCCGTCCAGAGAGCGTGAGTTCATTTTATTCTTCTCGTTTATTGCCAATACCATTTCTATTGGTTTTAAACAGCCATGTATTACAATGGGAACTCGGTGTGCGGATTGTGTCTGATCCACCCACAGCTCCTGGATCCATCTGGACATTTCTAAAGGCAGAATCCTTTAATACATATGTATGTTACTTACTGGGTAATACTTTACACTGTGTGAGGGAATATATATTGCAAAATGCGTCAGGAGTGTGTAATGTTGTGCAGGGCTGCGCTAATGCCTGCGGATTATTGCAGGCCTCCAACTGCGGCCTGATTCTTACCATCAACACCGACTTTGATTTTTTTATTTATAGATTAAATATATTTGACATAATTTCGTAAAGAAACGAAAAGAAGATGCAATTCAACTTTAGTGTAATTTTTCGTCCTGTCCTTTAATGCCGCCGGCTGGCTCGGAGCCTCATTCACGGTGCCATTTTCTGTAAAAACGCCCTTCAGAGGGACAGGGGGACAGAGGGTTTGTGGTCAGATTGTTTTGGTTGGTTTAAGATATTTAAAGTTGGGTCGTGTCTTATTAAAATCATGCGTTATATGAAGTCTGCATATGAAAACAATGTTTGGATAAGGGGCCTTCTCTGTTTTTATGAACCTGTTTTAAGTCATCCTGACTAACATAAACGGATCTTGTGTTCAGCATAAACCTGTGAGTGAATCCTCAGCAGTGCTGATGAGAACATGACAATTAAAAATTAAAAAGTCTGAGCAGTCACTGTTCTGTGACATCATAGTGAGCCAGCGTCACACTGACGCCATTTCCCTGCCAAATAATGTCCCATTTAAATAAAACGCACAGAGACATTGAATGAGACATTTGATGTGATCACATGTGACTGACAGTGCACAGTAAGAGTCAGCCAGCTGCTGCTGGAGGACAGCCCTATAGATCAGTATGATGAGCTGAGCCCTTGCTTTACTCATGCAGTCCTTCTTGAGTCAACCTGTGAGTGGAACATGCTACAGGCAGATAGGCTTTAATCTGGGAGAATCTAATTCCTAAAAAGGAGACTCAGCGTCTGCACACGTAGGATAAATCCCCATAATCCTTTGTGATGAGACAGATTCATAACAGACTCAAACTGGAGGTGAGACCCTTTTGATTAAGATACTGCTGTTGAACTCAGTGGGTCAGGTTTTCAGCTGAGGAGGCAGAGCAGGAACACACACACACACACACACACACACACACATAGATTTACTGCTTTTCTTAGTGTTTCATATCATTAGAAATCAAGGTATAATTTATTTATCCATAAAAACTGCAAAACAGCATATTTTATAATTATAGATATTTTATATAATTTAATGACATTGTACTGAACAGGTAAACAATAAAATCAGTGGATTAATTAGAATGAAAATAATTGTTTTGTCTGCAGCAGTATAGCAGTATATGCAGGCACACACACACACACACACAGCCAACACTGCAGGTCAAAACACTGACATCCCATTGTACATCAGTGTACAATATAAACAGACCCACGTCCATATTCATATCCAGTGATAAACTGTGACTCTGTGTGTGTTTGTATATGTGTGTGTGTTAGTGGTAGGTTTGTGTAAAAATTAATCCAATGTATTAATGATTTCTGGTCATTAGCCCAACACTGATTATATAAAGCCATCAACACACAATCATAATAACATAACATTTTATCTCAATGTTTGTGTGTTGCCATAAAAACGAGTCTTGCACAACACAGTCTGTATGGGTGAGTGGAGCCTCCTGAAACTGTGAGGTTTGAGCAGTTCCACCAAGGAGGGATTGAATTTCTTCTCCTACTACTAGAGCTTTGATTGGGCCCAAAAAATCATACCCGACCCCACCCTAGCCCAAATTTCCACTTAGAATAAATAAATCATTTAAATAGTTTATTACAAGCTGAAGTAAACTAAATTGTGCATAAAATATAGTGCATATTATTCTTTAAACTAATAAATAACCAATTCACTCATTTCTTACAGTTGCATGCATAGTAAAATATTAAATACATATATATTTTTAAAATTATTTCTGTCTGAGCCCGACCGGCAGCAGTTTTTGGTTCGGGCAGAGAATCAAATCTTCACTTTTTTTTGTTAATCATTGAATTTACATTGAGTTTTCTAGCAGGGTCCCAAGCCCCATTATAGTCCAAAATCTCTTTGTTGTAGATGATGACTCCATGGTCTGTGAGCTGAAAACTAATCAAGGCTGAAATATCTCAGAAACCAACCTGGGAAAATAGAATGAATTGAATTGAAATTGAATGTGCAAATACAGGATGGTCAAGAGAATAGTTGGATAGTATTTATCAAACAACAATAATGATTATAGGTCGGTTAGAAAAATGGAAATAAATAGCTAAGTAAGAAAAATACGCTTCACTCTCTAGGGCTGCACAATTAATTGAAATATTATCGAAATCTCAATATGGACAAGTGCAATATGCACATCACAGAAGCTGCAGTTTTATGATGAAAGTAAAATGTGTACCAAACAGCATTATAATGAAGTATATTTAGTTATAATTATGTATAGTTAATTAAGTACTGTAGTGCTGCAAAGAGGCCCTGGCCTAAAAACCTTGTTCTCCAGATTTAGAATTTGTTTGTTTGGTACAGACACCAAATAATTTCACATCATCATTATTAGAATAGTTTTTTTCAATGAAAATGAATTTTTTATGCAGAAATAATCAATCCCACCAACCGTGAATCATATCGCAATATCTGTCTAAATAATCGTAATTATCGATTATCGAATCGATTTGACCATATCGTACAGCCCTAATTTCTTTGTTAGTTTTTCCTTACCCAACAGATTGTGGAGATTTTAAAGCTCCATGAGGCAAACTGGGATCTGCGATTTTATGCAATATAAATTATAATTACAATATAAAATAGACTGTGGGCCTCTACAGGAGACTCAGCTAAGATCAACATGCCGCCAACTACAGCTGATGTTGGATAGCTCAAAATGCCACACAAACACACACACACACACACACACATACACACACACACACACACAACTACACACACAGCAAAAAAGAAAATAAAAATAAATTTAATTTTCAATAATAATAATGATCAAAATAACAAAAGTATGCAAAAAGTTTATTATAACTTTAAAATACCCTTCGGAACTTTGTTATAAAATGCTCAAATCCACCAAATGTTGTATAGTGGAGTGGTTCCTAACCTGGAGGTTGGGACCCCACTAGGGATCATCAGCGGGGGGGTAGCGAGGCCTTCTTGATTTTAAGGTGTGCTAAAAAAAATATACACAGTAGGCCTATATCTCAGCATTTGGTTCACTTCTGTGAAGAAAAGTAAGGAAGTAAATTAATTGTCTAATACAACAATGGCCAAACGTCAGGGACACAAAAACACTGAATTTGTCCAAAACAAAGCCGAGTGAGTGTGTATGATTCTTAATAAAATAATTAAAAAATACATAATACAGACAGAGAATTGTAGAAAATGTTCCCTAAACAAAAAATAATCTTCTCAGAATTCATTCAAATCACTTGTTTTACACAAACATCTTGCAGTTACTGAGTTCACTGTTTGGGTTCATTATACAGTTCTGAATGCAAAATTAAATATACATAAAATATGTCATTTAATCAGGGGTCGTCAGTTTAGTAAATGATAGAAGAGGGGTCCCTTAAGGAAAAAAGGTTGGGAACCACTAGTAAAGTGGACAAATGTATTTGCTATAGTTCCACAATTGAATCTCAAATATGGTTAGATAAGATGTTCCTTTATTGATCCCCTGTAGGACAAATTCAAATTTGGCACAGCAGCACAGGGGAATGTAGAGCAAAGAGTAGAAAAAAGCCTAAAAATACAATACAATATAAAAATATTAAAATATAATTAAAACATATAATAAAAAGCTAGAATATAAAAAATATACACACTATATACAATATTATAAAAGTGGAATATGGATATTGATAACTGTACATGTCCAGTGTTACAAGGTATTGCTCAAAACAAAAAAAACAGTTGTGCTTCGCAGTATATAATCCCACCAAACTGTTCTAATCACAAAGTCTGTTACTGCACCTCCTAAATATCCTCAGCTCAGTGGATACAAACTTTGACAGAGAGGTCATATGTTGGGGCCCTGCAGTAAGTGGGCTCTGAATGACAGCTGACGATTTTGTCGTGACCTATTTCTCTGTGTCTAACGTCCATCAGGGTGAAGCAGCAGCCGGCTGAAGGGGCCAAGTCCAACCCGTCCAAGCGGCATCGGGACCGGTTGAACGGGGAGCTGGAGCGGTTGGCCAGCCTGCTGCCTTTCCCCGAGGAGGTCACCGCCAGTCTGGACAAACTCTCCATCCTCCGCCTGAGTGTCAGCTACCTGCGGGCCAAGAACTTCTTTTCTGGTAAATCTAGTCAGGAGAATGTGACTGTTCTTAGTGTTACTAGTGGTGGTCAAAAGGTCACACACTCTGCTTTTGTTGTGTGGACTGCTGCTCATGTATCATCCAATATATTACTGTCTCTTTTGCGTAATGGTTAAATTGATCACATCCGTCAAATAAACCTGTTTATAGTTAGTGGGACCATTATGGGAAATCCTCTTGTTTGCTATGAAACTCAGAGGAGATCAATATCACATTAATGAGCTCTGCCACATGTTTAGCCTAAAATAGTTAGGAGGTCAGTCCTGGTCCACTATGCAACTTGTACAGTGTGATGTAGAAACATGAAGCCACCAGTGCACATCCACTGAGAATGGACTTTACAGTGAAGTCTTATGTCTTATTCTTATCAGAGTTGTCCAAAAAGATAGTTGTTTTTTAGCCTTATGCTTGTTAGTGTGGTGTGGTATTTCCTCTCTGCCTTATTTAGCCATTTCATGCCATTCACACTATCTTCACTCCCACCATTAGTCTTGGCAGTATAACCAGCACCTCCATCTCCGGGCTCAGTGATAATCCACATGCTCGGGAGTACTAGAGACATACTATGACTTCACCATGTTGCCTGCATGTGGACAGGATTGTTAGTTTGCCACTATAGAACAGGTTACCATACACCACAATTACAGTGCACACAGTGTCACGACTATTTTTGCCAGCTCAGGAACTGATC